TGTGCTTTCACGATTGGTTGCTGATACAAAAGAAATGACCATATTTGGATCCGATGAGCCACTGCTCACTGCGTTTTTATATGTACAAAAGTGGTGGGGCACAAAAAACTTAGATGTCTATATATAAGCTTCTGAGGTTCATGGCTGGTGAGGCTCTGACTCTTCAGGTTTACAAATATTATATTTTGACCTAAATCAAAATATAATATTATTTTCAAAAGCTTTTTTTGTCTGATGCTTCAATTAATTTTAAACACAGTTCAACAAAAGGATACCCAAAAAATGTAATTTTATCATTTAAATATTGAATTGTTCTCTCTTAGTAAGATCCCATTTTCAATAAAATTGCAGTCTTACCTTGACATGAAGATGAAGTCCATTTGCCTATCCTTCTGGACAAAAATCTCTTACTTTTTTGTAAAAGTCCTCCTTATGTTCTTGTAGTTTCAAAAGTCTATCATAAATCTGATCTAATCAATAGATTTATGATTCGAAAATTATAAAAGTAGGGTAGACATGTGGATATTATCCGGCTGAACAAAACGTGCATTTATCCAACAGGTTTGTTTCCCACAGATCTTATTTGGAGCTATTTTCTAAAATCCTATGGAGAAATATCATTGCTTTTTTGTGGAGGGAAGCCATGCGCAGTTTATTTCCGGGTTTTAGGACGCCTCACTGCAGCTCTCTCTCCTCCTCTTCACACACCACACTTTTCGCGGCACACGTACTTACAGCCAATCAGCTCTGAATTATGTGAGATGACGTATGGTGGGGATGGCAGCACTATGCCCCTATGGTCATTATTTTTTTGCCACACACATTAAATAGGACAATACTCTGAGCATGCGCAGTGTAGTTTTTACAGTCACCATTGACTTAAACAGGGAGAGGGAGGGGCAGGATCGGGTTTTGTCCCACATGGCTCTAAACAGCTCAATAGGCACACACTGTAGACACTAATTAGAAGAACACAGACTAAAACAGCAATGTACAGACGAATCAGATGATTAAACATGATCTTAAAATATATTTTTTGCATTTTTTTGTAATCATTACTTTTAATACTTTCTGCTGACACTAATGACCAGTCGCCACTGCCGATGAGATTGTGCAGGAGAGACGGAGCTTTCCAGCGATACCTCTGTTGACATGGTGCACACAGCGGTCGCGGTACTTTATGTTACATTAGAATGCTAACTTTTGGTGAATTTAGGAGAAATCTACAGACGCAAATAGACAAACTATAGTAAAATAAACACTTAAATGTGTATTTTGTACGTTTTCCTTCGAAAAGCCTGAAAGAAAACATGTTATGGAATCAAAATAGCACAAAATCTCAAAATTGACCAGTACTTGAAAAACGATGTTTTTGCCCGCCGTGTCTCGCCTTAAGTTATCAAAAAGGAATTACTAATCCTCTGAATAGTACCCTTGTATTCTTTATAAAGATATCCTATGTCATCTGAACTTAACTTTAAAATCTGGTCAATTTTTTCAATTTTTTTTTTTTTTTTTTTTGAAAAATAAATTTGAATGTTGTAAAACTGAGATTTGAAAATCTAAATTAGACAAATTAAATACAATTTTTGAAATTATGCAAATTTTTAGAATCTGAACAAATAAATAAAAATGCACAGTGTATGGTTTTGACTTTGTAATATGAAAATAGGAATATGGTGCAAATCCAAATAAATCGTGTACAGTATATACTCAAGTTGAGTTCATGAAATTATGCAAATGTCATAAAATGTGTTAACTACAATACTTCAATTCAAAGAAACCACATGTAATCTTTATCTGTGTGGTAAATAATGTATTAACTGTAATAGTTATTATGTCCGCTAGGGGAGCTGTTTTATTTGTAACTCCTCTCAAATGTATCAACTAGTACTTCCGGTTCATAAACCTACTTCCTGTTTATTTCCTCAAAATATAAAATTCAAATTACTTTCTTTGAAAAGCATGAAAAACAAACAACTCAATCTACTCTCAACGTTCATCTACACCAGGCATCCTCAAACTACGGACTCCGGTCCGGATCCGGACCGAACCACCACTGTCTCCGGACTCCGAGCAAATTATACTTTTCATATGTATTATCTCTCTGTATTATATGTGAGACATCGCCACAACGCATTCGCAACGAGTCAAAATTATCCGCTATGTCCACTGCAAACAGCGCTCTGCATGTCTGACTGTTCCACTGTGTTCCACCTGTGTGTGTCAACGCTTTGGTCCAATCACATTCAGCATCCAGTCAGCGTTTTTTCCCCCCAAACAATCTGCGAATCAGAGGCACAGTAGGGCGGGTCTTCGCGGAATGCGGGTGGGAAAAATGTGTGTGTCTCTTTCAACCTGTCTAAGTCAGAGCGAGAATTAAAAAAATTCAGAGCGAGAGTTAACAGCTCATCTAGTTCCATCTGTACTGTAGCTAGTAGCCTAGTTTCACCTACCGGGGTGGCAGCTGCCACCCCAGTTGGCAGCTTTGTTTTGAAAGAAATGTTGTGGCTCATCGGACATTTATGAGAGAAAGTCTCTAATGTCCGAGTGCAAGTGAATGCAGCACAAGATGCACGTCATGTAACCCCTCCCCCGGTCCTGGCGCGAGCGTGGATATACGATTGGCGGCGATTTCATTTTGAACTGGACGGCGCAAAACGAGAAGCATTCGGACCCAAGCACTGAAGGAATGAGGTATTTGCGGTCTACACTGACAGAGAAGAGACTGTCAGTTTGGCTGTACTCAGCATTGAATCAAAACGCACTAAAGCTGTTGATCTTAATATGTTTGTGAGGCGTTTTGTTGAACAAAATGGTAATCACCGCATTCAGCTGTAATAGACATGTCAACTTGATGCTCTGCTCACGGATGAGCATACACAACTATTAAGATGATGACCTTACGTGTGTAAATATATTTTTTTCTTTGAGGGGGTCTGCCCCCAAAAAACTGTTTTAAGTCAGTGCATTTCCTTAGCTGTGGGTGAGTCCACTGACACCACTGACAATGCTCAGTTGCTGGTGTTTGTGAGTTTTTATGATGAGGCAAAGGGGGAGTTTGTTGAAGATGTGTTGGGCCTGACGAACCTCAGTGGACACACAAGGGGGGAATACATTTATAAAGCAATAATGGGAATGCTGAATGAAAGAGGTAAGGGTGCAGCTGCCTTTATTCATAACTGTGCAGCTCTTACACTGGGACTCTGAGGGGTCAAGCACAGACACAATAACAATGAAAACTGCTACATACAGATTATTTTTGTTTTTGCAACCTCGTGTTAAGAATCTTGTTGCAATTGTTTAAAAGTTTGAATGACCGTAATAAACGGACCTTTGTCTTATTGAAACATTTATTTTGGACCTTTAAGATTTGTATTTGAGTACCCCTGATCTACACCATCCCTGTGTATTTAATCAGTAGTTACCGGTTGTATCTTTACTCAAAGTATTTCACCATCTAGTAATGCTAACTGGCTAGCTTAGCAGTATAGCATTAACCGCATGTGACTGGGGGAAGGGGAACAATGGAAACACTCAACATCTGCATATAAATAACCACACTGCTTGACAATACAAAACAAAACAATCTTCATTTATCTTAGCTCTAAATTATATAGATGCTGACCTTAAAAGCTGATCTCATACCAATCTTGTACACAATCGTTTCGGCTTAGAACATCACACAAAAATATACTTTTTGGCTTAAAAACTCCACACAATATACGTTATTAAACCAGACTACGCAGGTTTAACACATCAAACATATAGACTAACATGAATGGACCCAGTCCAGTGTAAAACAGATCAGGTCTGGTACCTACCCAGAGGTATTTAACACAAGGTGGACCCGGTCCAGTGTAAACCACATAAAATCTAGTGCCTCCTCAGAATGTCTTAATACTATGTAATATTCACATTAATCGGGCGGCGCCGAAGATACAACAGAGACGAATAGAAACACTATATACAATATCCACACCACTCACAATCACCACGGAATTAAACAGGTAACTGTCTCACCTTTCGTTTAGGCCCAGCCAAAAACTCATTGTCTGCAGCCTAGTGTGATGCCAGTTAGCTTGCAGCATTCCCCTCTTTTCCAGCTCTATCCCGCTTCAGAGTCCACCCAGGGACGCCATGTTAGTGTATTCTAGAACCCCGAAGGCAGGAGAGACTGAAAAGAGTCAAGGGAAGCTTATAAAAGTTAACAGCATTTAATTACACAAAAGATGCGGTGGTGTACAAAATGAAACGTGCGAGTGGAGGCGCTCTCCTCATCCACCCAGTCAGTCCAGGTCAGCAGGTAGAAAGAGGTCAATCCTTGGCTTGCTCTTCCTGTTGTCATCGGAGGTCTTCTCCTACTGGCCGGCGTCGTCGGGGGCGGGTCCAATGCAATTTCTGCCTTTTTCTGTTGTTAAATTATATCATTCTGGTGTCTGTGGTTATTTAAACATTCCCTAATAAACGTTATTCAGCGGTAATAAATGAGTGCTAAACCCAGTGTGCTCAGTGTACAACATCACATGTCACTTCACCTTTGATTCACGGTTTGAAAATGCAGCATTTCGCCACATGCTAATGCTAACCGGAAATGAATAATTGTCAGAATAAAAGTATTAAGTTAATAGTTAGTGAACTTCCGGTTTTTCAGAATAAAACTGATTTAAATTAAATAGTGTATTCAATTCAAATTACGCCATACCAACATTGATTTTAATTTCTAACACAAGACACCTACCCGAAGTACAATGGCCACACACATTTATATTTTAAAATACAACACACACACAAATTAATAGCATGCAGGGTTAAATGTAAGAAAAAGAAGAAATTTGAACTCACCGTGCCTGTGAAAATGCAACGCCACGTGTTATGATTGTTATTGTTATAAATGTGGTTGTTTTAACATTAATTTCCCAGCTATTTTCAGGAACCGGAAGCAGCCGTCCAACACACAGTCCTAAGATTGTTCTGCATAAACTATTGAAGAATTTTGACGTAACAGGCTTCTTCTTTACCGTGGTTTGAGCTCTCTGTGTGTCGAACGGGTTGCCAGCGGCTCCGGGCAACAGCCGGCTATGTAGTCTATCCGGTTCAACAAGAATCACGTCAGGTGTCAAACCAATTGTTAACTGTGTTCTTATTCTCAGCGTCCAGGAAAGAGAAGCTTAAAAAGGAGACTAAATGGAGTCTCTGGAGGTTCAAATTTGGTACTTTAATTAATAAAAAGGCGCGGTAAAGTCACAAACAGGATATTGTTCGACAGGAGAGAAAGTCTGCAGCTTCCTCTCCCAGGTGCTGGCCGTGCAGAAGAGAGCTTACAAGCATTCGTCCTTCCCGCTTGCTCGCTTCTTCTTCTTCTTCTTCTTCTTCTCTTTAATGGTGAATCGCTTCCACTTGGAGCATATATCGCCACCTACTGTTGAGTTATTAAATGTTCATATTAAATCCTTGTCCTCAAACCAGTGCTTTTGAGGAATTTGAAGATCAGCTTGTTTGCTTCATTTCTTGATTTACTTTCATATATTGATTTGAAATCCATGTCCTTGATGTTGAGTTGTTCCAGTGCAGTTTTCAGAATGAGTCTTTGCCTTGTATATTCCGGGCAGCTAAAAAATACATGCTGTATTGTCTCTGGTTGTTGGCAACCATCACAATTGCCATTTGGATGTTTCCCAATCAGATGCAGTGATGAGTTTAATCCAGAGTGTCCCAATTTTATCCTGCTGTTAATGCTCTGTTCTCTTCTACTACTCCCCCAAGTGCTTCTTGTTCCTACTTCCCTTTGTATCTGGTATAAATGTCTTCCTTTGATGTTACTGTCCCATAGTTTTTGCCATTGTTGCTTGATAACCACTTTTGTAACAGATTTGACTTCTGATCGACTGATGGGTACAATTATATCAATCTGGTTTGCTTTCAAACCACATTTTGCCAGTTGATCCACTACTTCATTCCCTCTAATACCCACATGCGCTGGAACCCACACAAATTGAACAACAATTCCCAGATGAACTAACCTAAACATGATGTGTAAAATTTCATGTAAAATATCCTGACGACATTCTGAAGAGAAGTTGTTTATGCTCTCCAGAGCTGCACTGGAGTCAGAGCAAATGACCACTCGCATTGGCTGTATTTCCTCTACCCACTGAAGTGCTAGTGAGATAGCCATCATCTCTACTGTATATACTGCCATGTGATCACTCGTACGCTTTCCCACTTTTACTTTTAATTCAGGAACATAAAATGCACAACTAGTTAGACCATTTTCTGGATCTTTGGATCCATCAGTAAATATTTGTATAAACTGCCCATATTGTTCATGTAGAACAGTGTTCACATAAGCCTGTACATTGATTTTGTTTTTCATTGAATGTAACCGTTTCAATAGTGATAAATCTACTATAGGTTGAGGTAGCAACCATGGTGGAACAGCTGATAACACCACCGTCGGACTAATACTCCATTCTTTAACTTTGAATTCCTTACATATTTCCGAAACACAAACACAAAAACTTTCTTTTTTTATTTTGTTACTTTCCCAACTTGTTTGTACAGTTTGTTTGGTAGGGTGAGTATCTTTATGGCCCTGAAGATTTGCCCAGTAATGAACAATTAACTGTTTTCTCCTCAAAGAAATTGGTATTTCTCCGACCTCTACCTGAAGTGCAGACACTGGTGTAGATCTGACTGCCCCACAGCATATCCTTAGTGCTTGTGCCTGGACTCTATCTAATTTTTGAAGAGAAGAATATGCAGCTGAACCATACACTATTAGTCCGTATTCTATGGCTGATCTTATTAAGGCTGTGTATACGTTCCTCAAAGCAGCTTTATCAGCCCCCCACTTAGTGCCTGCCAAGCACCTCATAACATTTAAAACCCTTTTACATTTATCCACTACTTTATCAATGTGCGTACTCCATGTGACTCTCTCGTCCAACCATATTCCCAGAAATTTAAATGTCTTCACTTTCTTTATATCTTGTCCATAACGTTTTAACCTAACCTCCTCACTTATCCTTTTCCTCGTAAAAAATAAAGTTTCAGTTTTTTCCACCGACAATCTAAACCCCCATGTCAGAGACCAGCTTTCAATTTCCGTAATGGCTTCCTGAATCTTAGCTACAATATATTTTACATTTCTGCCCCTTTTCCAAATAGCTCCATCATCTGCAAAAAGTGACTTACCAATATCAGATCCTACTTGTGTGTATATATCATTTATCATGATAGAAAACAAAAGAGGACTAATTACACTCCCCTGCGGGGTTCCATTTTCAACGTCATGCCTTCGAGAATATGAATTGCCAACTCGGACTCTGATGGCACGGCCAAACAAAAAATCCATAATCCAATTATATACATTACCTCCCAGACCCATAATGTCCAGTTTTATTAATAATCCTTCCTTCCACATCATATCGTAAGCTTTTTCCACATCAAAGAATACAGCTACAACACACTCCTTATTCGCTTGTGCTTTCCTGACTTCAGACTCCAGGCACAGCAATGGATCTAAAGTACTCCGCCCTCTTCTAAACCCACTCTGATAAGGAGTCATTAGTTCATTTTTCTCAATGTAGTATGTCAGCCTTTCTGTTATCATTCTTTCCATAACTTTACACAAGTGCGATGTCAGAGCTATAGGTCTATAACTGCCTGGACTGGTTGGATCTTTCCCAGGTTTTCTAATAGGAATAATGACAGACTCTTTCCATATTAGTGGCAGCTTCCCTTTCTCCCAAATCTTATTGTACATCTCCAGCAGCTTTTCTAATGCAAAATCACTTAATTTGGTCAACATTATATAGCATACATTATCTTTCCCAGGAGCAGTCATTTTACACTTACTTAATGCTCTTCTCACCTCTTGAATAGAAAAAGGTATATTTACAACACTCTGCGACGAATGTCTATCTTCATATACATTAGGATGTTCATCTAACACTTCCTGCCTCCTGATCTTACCTTCTTCTGTCAAATTTTCCGAAGAATGAACTTTGACAAAATTCTTAGCTAGAATTTCTGCCTTCTCCATAGCACCGGTGGCAATTTCCCCTCCATTCTCTAACACTGGCAGGTTACTCTGCTGTCTTATTCCCCTCATCTTCTTAACCATTCCCCATACTTTATCTAATGGTGTAGTTCTCCCAATACTTGAACAGAATCCTCTCCAACACTCCCTTTTTGCTCTTTTAACAATGTTCCTTACCTGAGCCTGTGCCTTTTTATATTCTAATAAATTGTGTAATGAATGTGTCTTTCTTAGCTTTCCAAACAGCCTGATTTTGTTTCGAATTGCATCATTACATTCTTTGTTCCACCACGGTACCATCTTAACACATTTACTAAGTTTACCAGTTTTATTCCCAATAGTTTGATTAGCGCTTTTAATTATATTTGAAGTAAATTGTTCATTTATTTCATCAATACTTCCTGCCATATCAATCTGATCAAATTCTTTATCACACAATTTAGCAAACATCTCCCAATTTGCTTTAGAAAAGGTCCATCTCATGATACCATCTAGCTCAACCACATTACTAATATCAAACTTGATTATAATCGGAAGATGATCACTCCCAATACTGTTATTTGCCAATACTTCCCAACTGCTACCCGAAGCTAATTCACTTGTTACAAGAGTTAGGTCGATCGCAGACTCTGTTCCATCTCTAAAATTGAGTCTTGTACCTTGCCCATTATTTAAACAAACAAATTCCTTTGCCTCCATTAAGTCTTCCACCACCTGTCCGTTGTAATCTGTTGATCTCCCTCCCCACATTGTATTATGTGCATTAAAATCACCACACCATATTATTTCATTTCCTTGGCAAAGACTGTCTAATTCCTCTATCTTGAGTTTATTACATGGATTATAAAAATTCAGGACACTAATTTTCCTTTTATTAATCCAAACTTCTACACCCACTATTTCTAAATCATGACTGTTCTTAAATGTTAGCCTACTATAAGACATTACTTCTCTGATAAAGATTGCACATCCCCCTCCCTGGCCATCATTTCTATCTTGTCTTATAGCAGTATATCCCCCAATTATGAAGTCCAAATGAGTCTTCAGCCATGTTTCTTGAATACAAATAACATCTGGTTTTTCTTTTAACTGATATATATAAGTCTTGAATTCTTGTCCATTTGCAATAAGGCTTCTAGCATTCCACTGCAGAATGAGAAAAACCATTCATCTACTCACTAATCTGTGAATCATCATTATTGGGGGCTAGCATATCATGCATAATTTCAACGGTTATATCCTTTATCCCCAAAAATTCACCTGCTGCTTCCACTATTGTTTTCAGTCTTGACCTCTTTTTTGTTTGTTGCAAAGCAACATTCACCACTTTCCCAATAAAGGCCAAAAATGTGTACTTATTAACAATCAATGCATCCTCTCCTATCACACATTTATGTGAACACTTTGTGAAGCTTTCCTTTGCCTGTGTGAGTTTGGGAAAATCTTTTGAAGAGAATATACTTGTTGCTACTTGGGATTTCCTAGCTATGTTTAGGGAAACCTTTTCTGTTGCTTCAGCATATGAGACTTTATTTTGCACTTTGAATCTCTGCACCTCCTTGGCCTTTTTCTGCACTTCGCAGCCCTGATACGCAGCACTATGTTCCCCACCACAGTTACAACATTTCACCTTAGCACCTGCAGCACAACTACCATATTCATGTTCCCCCGCACATGTTGGACACCTGGGCTTAGTTGCTTTGCACTTGTCTGCCACATGCCAAAACCTTTGGCATTTAAAGCACCGCAGAGGTTTAGGGATGAATTCTCTTACTGGAAAGCTCATGCAACCGATCATTATCTTCTGTTGAATTGTTTCTTCAAACTGAAGAAGAACAGACAAACTATCCACTATCTTACCCTGATACCTAGTAGGAAGACGCTTAACTACAGACACTTTCCCCCCTTTAATTTCTTTCTTGAGCTCTTCTATGCCGATTTCTATGGGAACTCCACTGATAACTCCAAGTATTTTCCGATTTGCTCCAGGAACATGGCATTTAATTCGAACTTCATTCAGGGTCTTCATTTTCAGTAACTTTTCCTGTTGTTTTGCATTCATCAATTCAATCAACATCCGTCCTTTGCTCAGGAATCTTGCTTGCTTTATCGATCCAATTTCTTTGTGAATTGCTTTAGTCAGGGCCACTGGATGTAGCTTAGCTGCGGTTTGCTCACCAAACTCCACAATCACTTTCCAATCTTCATTCTCATTCTTTTTCTTTACTCTCTTCAACTCATTCCGTGAATCAGATTCACTAAGACTGTCACTTGACATGTCTATCTTCTTTCTTGAAGTCTTTTTCCTTACTTCACTCCATCCTCCTTCTCCTTCAGATGCACTTTCCATATCCTCTTCTCCAGGACTCAAAGACGCCATTCCACTCCGTCGCACGACTATCTCAGTCTCCCAGCCGATTCAGTTCTGTGTTCTGGTTTTCATGTCTGAATATGTCCGATTACAACAGGAGTCCCGCTTGCTCGCTGTTCGCTCTTCCTCTCTGTGAGCTGTAGTGACGTAGGGGACTTGCCCCCTCGTTCGTCTGTGTCCGACATCGCGTTAAACAGAGGATTTCAACATTTTATATTCATTGCTTACTTCCACATGCCTTTTCTCCTCCTTATCTCTTTCATAACTTTATATGTAATACATGTTAACGGCGTCAATAGCCACTTTAATGATACTAATGGGCGGTAGTCCCGGATGTCGTCATGAAGGATTTTCAGAATAAAAGCTTAACAACTGGTTGTGCACAAGAACTTCTGGTTTTTCAATATAAAACAGCATTTAAACTGACGGTATGTTTAAGGTACATTATGCTATCAAAACATTGATTTTAATTTCTAACACTGAGCAAGTTAGATGCTGCGTATCACAGTGCACTGAGATTTTTGACAAATTGTAAAGCACTTACGCATCACTGTACCCTGTATACCCAGGCGGTTTTGCCATCACTTACTGTACGGAGGCTCAGTCACTGGTACTTTTTCATTTACAAAGCCATGTTGGATAAACTACCATCTCATTCCTCTGCATGTTTTTAAAGCTAGGCTAAATGAAATGCTTGTTGATACTATGGGCACTTGTAAATGTCTATAACTATGTAAATGTATCCTGTAAATATAATGTATAATGTCCTTTATTGTTTCATGTGGAACCTATATGCTGCAGGTCTCCCTTGAAAAATAGATCTATGATCTCTCAATGGACCAATCTGGTTAAATAAAGGTTTGAAATGAAATGACACACAGAGACCAATCAATGGCTTTGATTTATGATCTGTATGAGAGTCATCATGTCGGCAGGCCACATCATGTAGACAGCCAGTCACCCTCTGTGAGGCAGACCACATCATGTAGACAGCCAGTCACCCATTGTGAGGCAGACCACATCATGTAGACAGCCAGTCACCCTGTGTGAGGCAGGCCACATCATGTAGACAGCCAGTCACCCTGTGTGAGGCAGACCACATCATGTAGACAGCCAGTCACCCTGTGTGAGGCAGACCACATCATGTAGACAGCCAGTCACCCTGTGTGAGGCAGACCACATCATGTAGACAGCCAGTCACCCTGTGTGAGGCAGACCACATCATGTAGACAGCCAGTCACCCTGTGTGAGGCAGACCACATCATGTAGACAGCCAGTCACCCTGTGTGAGGCAGACCACATCATGTAGACAGCCAGTCACCTTGTGTGAGGCAGGCCACATCATGTAGACAGCCAGTCACCCTGTGTGAGGCAGGCCACTTAACAGGCCAGGCCATCGGGAAACCCCCGGTCCTCCCGATGGCCATTCCGGGACTGGGTACAGGAGGCGTAGAGCGAGGGATCATTGTCCACAAGTTAATCGATCGCAGATGGCGTCGTGATCGCGGACGAAAAATAAAATAAAATAATAAAAACCTAAATGGGTCGCGAAATATACTTGGGCGGCCGTTAATATACATGGACGGCCCGCCCAAGTAAAGTCTATTTGTGGGAAACCCTGCCATGATTGTACTTTGAATATGGCTATTGTGTTCAGCCACAGCAGCTTTCCCTGTGACCACTCCCTTTGTTCAAAAAGCCTATGGATTTATGGAGGACATCCATGAGTCAAGATTAGCATTTTTTGACAAATCTTTTTTAATGCCTGGTCTCCTTTTTATTGTACAGGAGGTTGTCCACTGTACAAGTGTTTGTCATTGACAGTTTGCTGTCCAATTGTCCCCTCTCCAATGTGGACAGCATCCTTTTTGCTTTTTGCTTTTCTCTTGCATCTGACAATGTTTCAGACAGTTTAGACTTTTTTCTCTGAGCAGTTGGAGTAGGGGGGCTGAAGTACTTCGACTTTCTTTTCTGGGTTTTAATTTGCTTCCTCCATGTCTCCTCTTGTGACAGAGGAAGTGTCTCTGGTCTCTCAGATTGTCTTTTGTCTTCAGCGTATGTTTTGGAAGGAGGCACCTGTGTTTTCATTATTGCAACGCCCTTGAGTCTTCCAACTACAAACTCTTGCTGTAGCTGGAGAAAGTCTCCTGCTCTTCTGTGCAATTTTGATGAAAGGATCACTTTTTGTTGTTGTGCGGAACCAGTTCTCTACAACAGCATTACTGTCACAGGTTTTGCCAAGATCTTTAAGCATCAGACCTGTCCAAAGAGTCACAGTACCAGCGTAATGGAGAATTATTTCCACAAGTGTCTCACAATAATGAGGATTTGGCTGGCATGCTCCGTTTGCGTCATCCTCCTTCCCTGCTTCCTCCTGTGCTTGTGTGACCACCTCTTTGATAGGAGCAAAGAAAGGGGATTATTTTGCGAGAGATCTGTGCATGTCTTCAAAATGTGTGGTCTTCATCTTCATTTTTGAAATTTATATTTTCTGACTTCTGTGTCCGTATGGCATCCTGCAGTGCTGAGAGATTTTTCTTACACCCATTAGTGTCAGTCTTTGATGAAAAAACATGTACCATACACCTTGAAATTGACAATACCAGGCCAAATACAGCAGCATTTTGAAGGAGGGCAAAACAGTACAAAAAAATTGTTTCGTCTCCTTTCTGCAGTTAACCTTGGACAACTTCATACTGATCAACTCCAGCATGTGAGCAGCACAGAGGTGTATTACTGTCAGCTGCACTGACCTTGCCCTTGGCACACCTGAAAGCAAAGCTTGAGATATTCCTGAACACTGGTGATGTTAAATGCCTGAACTACTGCATGGATCATGGCCCAACAGAAATCAGTTTCGACTTTTTGGGGCTTGAAGTAGTCGCGACCCAGGCAAGTCAAACAATGCAGGATTGTTGCAGTACTCTGATCAGATGTTAGCATTTCTGCCACAGGAACCACAGTTGTTGTTGTTGACTGGCATGACATACAAAGTGCATAGTAAAGTACTGATTGGCTGAGATTTTGCAACTACACTTCCAGTGGCATCCAAATACAAGAAACAACGCTTATTCTTTTGTAGGTCTTGCAAAATATGAAGCTGGGTCTCAGAATAGGAGTGAACAACAAAAGGAGACATTGCAACGTACTGCATTGTACTGTGCTTGATTTTTGAGCTGGGATTTTACACATCCTGCTTTTTTTGAATTTCCAAGCACTCCACAAACACATCCCTATCCAAGCGATTCTCAAGATTTTTTTCAGTTGATAAGTTTTCTGCAGAACTCTGACAGATTTGATATGTGTGGTTCCCTGCCAAAAGTTTGTCTTCATCTGCTCTTGCAAGTGTTTTTGTGTGAACATGCATAGGAGAAAATTCTCCAAGTTGTCCTTTGAGGTCTTCACGCTCAGGTTGACGACACAGTGTGTTGTTCCTCACAACTATGGCAGACCTGGCAGTGTGCACGTAGGTCTGTGTCATAATAAGCATAAATGAACATTTCTGAAAAGGGAGAAAACAATCAGATATGGTTGCACTTTTTACCTTGTTTCGGGAACCATTAATGATATCAATTCCACCTCCCACGCAGGAAAATAATGCCTGTAAAAACTAGATTGTATTAAGCTGGGTTTGAGGTTTGCCTAAAGTCTTTCTGCCTTGGCATACCAGTCAAAGTATGAGGACCCGAGATGAGAGCAGTTTAACCATTTATTTCCTTCACAACATTTGTTGACTGTCACAGTTAAAGATGATTTAGAGGCTAGAATATAAACACAAAAATAGCAATCAGAAAGAGCAAAACACTAGCGTACAATCAAATCAAATGTTGCTTTAACATAATTAACATAAAACAAATATCAATAACTTTAAAACATATTAACGACCTACTCAAATAATGCATCAAACAGTAAACTGGTGAGGAGAGCACATGTGAATCGGCTGCTTCAGACTGGAGATGGGTGAGTCCTGATTCATCCGAATCATTAACCCGGATCCTAGTAATGACCTGGGAGTGACGAGTCTCCCCTCTCCATTAACCCGAGTCCTTTGAGTCCTACACCTGGTGACGTACAAATTAAAACAATAAATTGCGTCACTCGCTACTCTCCTTATAACATGTAAAATCACATTACAACGTACCCCAGTCCATCTGCCTAGCCTTTAGCAAGTAGGATAGCTGCCAGAAGTTATCGTTTGGCTCAGGGGACACGGATCAGTGAAACTTCCTGCAGACTTGTGCGGACTCAGAGCCGTAACCGTATAGCAGATCCAGACTCGTCATGCACGAGCATCGCCGCGGGAACTGGGAAGTCATTTTACTTAGGGGGTGCGGACAAAAGTGGGGAGAGATTTCAAAAACAGTAACATGAAGTTTTTCAAATGTACACCATTCACAGCCCCGCCTCCAGCACCCCTACTTCCCGTGGCTATTGTGCACGAGTCAACAGCAGACTCAGAGATTCGCAAATCCTGACTCACTGTGCAAAACATAGCAGACTCGTGCGGACTCAGAGCTGTAACCGTATAGCAGCAGATCCAGAGATCCAGCAGACTCGTCGTCATGCACGAGTCAACAGCAGACTCAGATTTGCCAAATTTGCCAAACATTTTTATTAACCTGTTAAGCCCGAAGGTCCCCGCCGGCGGGTACTTTAGTTTTTTTTTTCACAACACTGTCTCAGGGGATCTTAATATTTAGGAACCTATTAATGTGTTATACCAGATTAACGGGAATAATCTCAGCTAACTGACGATACAAACAAATTTTACCAAAACAAAACACAAGTCTCATAAGAAGCATCTAAATGACCCCTGAGCGAAAAATGCTAACCTGTTACTGCACCGATAATCACTCCTAGTGTAACCCCGGTGTAATGTCCCCTCAGCAACAGACCACTCAGAGCTGGTGATTACTTCAGTTTATTTCCATACCTGCATTGCAATGGGCAACACACAATGGACACGTGAGCTGCGTTTCTCAACAGATCCTCACGCGGTATCTCAATCTCCTTTACAAAATAAGTGTCCAATAATCAACAACACAACAATGATCGTATAGTGGTAGTATAAACAATGTGAAACATTAAACATAAACAAACTGGTGTACCATTACTAAGACTAAGATTGGTTCAAAAGACCTCATGAAAGATGACACAAGAAGTGAGGATACCCGGCCCGGAGGAAGCCCGGGGTCCCCTTCTGGAGCCAGAACCAGAAGGAGGACTCGTCGGCGAGCGTCTGGTGGCCGGGCTTGCCACGGAGCCCGGCCGGGCCCAGCCCGAAAAGGCAACGTGGGCAACACCTCCGCTTCTCCGTCCCGCGGGCCCACCATCTACGGGAAACATCGATGGGGTCGGGTGCGCTGCCAGAAGGGTGGCAGTGAAAGCGGAGGGT